TTTTTCATCCTTGCTTCTAAGGAGCATTCTGACCCCACTTCTTCCAAGACAGATTGGTTTGTTCTTTAGGTAGTGTATAGTACTTTCAATATTCTTTGCCAGCACCACAATTCAAACACATTGATTCTTCCCTATTTGGTGTTCAACTTGGAAAATACCATGACTTGAGTCAGTGCACTTTAATCCTCAAACTAACATCCTTGCTCTTTAATACTCTAAAGAGGTCTTGTGCAGCAGATTTACTTAATGCAATGCATCTTTTGATCTCTTGACTTCTGTTTCCATGAGCATTGATTGTGGATCCAAGCAAGGCAAAATCCTTGACAGCTTCAGCCTTTTCTCTATTTATCATAATGCCATCTGTTGTTCCAGTTGTAAGGATTTTTGTTTTCTTTACATTGAGTTGTAATCCATATTGAAGGTTCTAATCCTGATCTTCATCAGCAAGTGCTTCATGTCCTCCTCCCTTTTAGCAGCAAGGTAGTGCCATCTGCGTACTGAAGGTTGTTAATAAGCTTCCTCCAGCCCTCCATTTGTATCTATGTGTTTGTTTTCCTGTTTGGGGTGGTTTCCAAGAATTAAATGGCATAACTGACTTTACTATGCCATCTTAAAACTGAAAGTCTCTGTACTGGCTAGATAGTGCCTGGTGGGCTCCCGAGACTTTGGCCCTTGGCCACCCCTCAGGTCTGGAACCCACCTCCGTGACTCAATTCTGGGAGTCATACACTAGGGCGATACATACTCCTTAGAGTAATCAACCATTTGAGATCAAAAGGTGGTACCTAGCCCAGGACAAAGTCCAGAAGTGTTAGGAAAGGAGAAATAGAAACAGGGGTATAGGAAAGAAGTAGAATAGCTGGGGTTGCGTTGAGGGGATTGAAATTGTTGAATAGAAAACTGATTCTCATCCAATTCACAATAAAAATATTAACAAATGATAAAACCCGGAGCAGCCTGTAAAGTTTTGTAAAGTTACTATAAAGAATAAGAGGAAAGACGCTGCGGGCGGTGGGAGGGGGAAGTTCTCAGGCTCTTTCCTTTGTGATCTCTTCAGCCCTTTCCCCTAGTTACCACTGAAGTGTGCGGCTGCCTCTTCTGCACAGGCACCATGCTGGGCAGTGGGGCACATCACAGATCTACCAGGGCCATATTTCATTAGCCTTTTCCTCTACAGATGGGAGTAAAGAGTGTTGTTCCAACAAAAGCAGGATAGTTTGACACTTTTCAGACAGCTGGAAATGTCTGAAGACGGGGCGTTTTGCTAGTAGGCGGCCCTGTGGAGGTGGTTTCCACTGTTGCCATTGTCAGAGTCAGTGTTGCCTCAACCGCCCTTGTTCTGGTGGCTGTGCTGTTATTTCTAGGCCAGGATGTACTTCCAGAATGCCTGGGTACTAAAGTGTCTACATTTCAAAATGTTTATAACTCGCCCTTCCAAGAAGAACGTATTGATGGATCCTCACCACCAAAATAATGTGTCGGGGAAGGGCTCGTTCCTCTCACCTACCAAATTACGTGCTGCTTTTCTCCCATTGCCGCCACATGCCCAACTGAAAGTGGCACTCCTGGTTGTATATGTGTATGCGAGGGTGCTTGGCACGTGTGTGCTATATTTTGTGGGGTGTGTACATGTGTAGTGTGTATGTGCAAGCACATGTATGCGCGTGTATATGTATGGGGGGGTAGAGTGCCATTTTATGTTAATAATTTGTACTTCTTTGTATCTGAAATGCCCATTTTTGCCAGAATCCTTGGTTTTAAAAAAGAAGAAACCTCACTTCATTTTGCCTCACCTGCTCTCCCAGCTCCTATGAAGAGGATCATCTAATGCATGCGTATTAATTTAAACCATTTCTTTCTAGGATTTAAAACCCAGCAACATCGTAGTAAAATCAGACTGTACCCTTAAGATCCTTGACTTTGGACTGGCCCGGACAGCTTGCACCAACTTCATGATGACTCCTTATGTGGTAACGCGGTATTATCGAGCCCCAGAAGTCATCCTGGGCATGGGGTACAAAGAGAATGGTGAGTACTGACTGAGTTGGTGGGAGCGGGTGATGTTTTTAAGAATGCCAGTGGGTACCATTAGATTTGTTCTCTTTCCTTTGAAGTAATTGAAGTATAATGTGAGAACTCTATTACATGTAAATTGTCATAGTTCGCAGCCATGAAATAGTTCACTTTGTATTTTAATTCATTAAATTAACACAATTTAAAAATTTCATTACTGTTACTATTTGAATTGACATTACTATTTGAATGCTTTATGAAAGTATAACATATGAGAGACTTTAAAAAGTTCATGGAAAAATGGGACTACAGGTTAAAGAGATGCATATGGAAAAGCACACTAGGTGCATTTTGATGTTTGATAACTTGTGCTCCAACTTTGTGAAGCAGAGCACTGCATACTTCCTATTAGTTCCCTGTGGAGGTAAGAGAAAGCCAGACCTCTGTTAACTTCTCCCCACCAAAGCAGAGGGGAAGTTCAAATACTTCTCTGCCGTTGTAGGCAGAGGCAAGGGGTAGAGCTGGGGCTCAGCAGAGAAGGATGGGGACCACAGAATTCAGGCCTACCCCTTAAGCCCCAGAATGCACTGCAACTCAGCAGTGACCACTCAAAAGAGCACTTTTACTTTTGGCAAGATGGGGACACTGAATGATTTTGGACTTTTTGGGGGAGGAGGCTTGGGGGAAAACTTGAGGGGTAGTATAAGGCTCGCTTTTAATCCCCTGATGTTTGGTAGTGGACATCTGGTCTGTCGGGTGCATCATGGCAGAAATGGTCCTCCATAAAGTCCTGTTCCCAGGAAGAGACTGTATCCTTAATAGGGAACAACCACGCATCGAGTCTGGTGGTTGGGCTGGGGGCGGGGCCAATGGGTACTACTTCCTTCTGGATGTGTTGTTTATTTGGTTAAAACTGTAAAGTACTGAACTCTTTGACATCAAAACCCAATTGCTGTAAACTGAAGGGTAAAAATAGAGGTCGCAACCATTCATATTGTGTGAAAAGTCCACCCTAGCTAGCAGTTTATTTTTCCATATTTGTGTGTTTAGTACACTGTTAGAATTCCTTTTACTCACCTTTGTTTTGTTCATGGCACTCCATAATTTTCCATTTCATTTTATTTTCAGTTGATATCTGGTCAGTGGGTTGCATCATGGGAGAACTGGTGAAAGGTTGTGTGATATTCCAAGGCACTGATCGTATCCTTCCGGGGACCTTGAGCCCCAGCCGTGCTGTCCCTAAATGCCAGAGCAGACTGAGTCTCACTTCTAAGTGAACACGCAAAGGGGAATCTTCTTGTTCTCAACTGCTTTCTAATTGCTCTCCGTTACGGTTGTTACATTTGTGGCACAAATCTAATGCTTAAACTGTACATGTTCTTTTTTCTTTGAACTACATATAATGATTTTGTTGAGGCTTAGAGTTAAGCCACTTAAATTCGATCTAGTTTTATGAAAACTACTAAGAGGGATATAAAAAGTTGTTTACTCTTTGACAAATATTGTCATATATTTAAACAAAAGCACTATTTATTTCAGTAAATTATTTTAAATAGGAAAGTAACTTTAATAGGTTCATGTGCTTGTGTTATTAATCTCTTCTGTTAATTTTAAGAATGCGTTAAATGGATTTCCCCGAAAGTAAGAACTGATGCACATTACGTAAAACTTAAATGAAAATTTTGTGAAGAGTTAAATTTTCTTGTTATTCTGCTGATTAGTAGAAATTTACCCATAGGGTTATTTTGTGGCACATTGGAAGTCTAATTCAATGTAAGACTCGAGGTTAAATTACACTGTGGTCAACCATTCATATTAATGACATAGTATAAAGGACACTATATGATATTATATTATATTGATAATTATAATAGCTTTTGTCCTTCTTTAATCATCCCTTCTTATTTAATATGTTTTACTCTGACGTGGTTCTTCACATGTACCGTTTTTTGTTTTTCCATTTATGTTCTGACTACGTAGTATTTTCATTAACCTTTGATTTCGTTTTGTTGTTAAAGCTTAAAGTAGCCTCTGTCCACTGACAGTCTAATGGTTGTTTTTAAAGGGAACTAAGCTCTGGAGTTCATATTTTGTATGTATGGAAGTTTTTAAGTATTTGGGTTTTTTTAAAATGATTTTATGAGGGTTGTTTTCTTATAAATTCCTTACAAGACAAATTGGAGTAAAAAGACTTTATTCATGTCATTTTATCTCTTTACACTTTCTACATCATAAGTTTTATAATATATGAAGTGAAATATAATATTATTTTATTGTAATACATTTTCTTATCCTTTTATCAGATCCACTGTTTAAGACTGAATAAATAGGCCTTTATTTTGCTAGTAAACTCAAAAGAGGAAAAGTTGATGTATTCTAAGGATAAATTATTTAGAATTATTTGTTTCGCATTGTTTTTCCTCAATTACATGTATTTTGTGCCTTATGTTATTTATTAAGAATCATTTTCTTCAGATATGAAAAATATAGGTATTTTTAGCACATTAGGAATTCTTACATTATGTATTAGCATATTGCAATGTCAGTAATTTAATGACTATGCATAGGTCATCTAATATTATTCTCTACAAATATAATAATAATAATAATAATTATTATTATTATTCAAGGAAAAACTTGTGCATAATTTCAGAGATTAGATTAAAATTCTTGGTGTAGAAAAATATTTTGGAAGCCAGATTATGGTTCTTAGAGATTGGCTTTAGGTTTATGGCCCGGAGCACAAAAGGAACTTCTGACCTACTGCGAGAAGTAGCAAGCTTTAGCCAGACTACTTGGGCTCTTCCACGTGGTAACTTCTTGGTTTCACGATGTGTAAAACGAGAGTCCTGGGGTCTGCCCCTGAGGGCCATGGAGCTTACTGACCGTGTGTACACACTCAGAAGGTGACCTAGGCGTGCCTGAGCTATTTTCCTTCTCATTACCTCCTTTTTAGTCTGTGAAAATGACCCTTTACTCATCAATCCAGAAGCTATTATTTGAGCTCCTGGTCTTTCTATACTCTTTATTTAGTTTAGCTTTGAAGGGAACCTCAGCTTCCCTATTGAGGGTTTCCATCTAGGACAAGAGTAGTAGTGGGGTGGCAAGTAGTGCAGATTCATTCTGCTTGTACAGTGGAGATGGAGAGGCCAAACTAGAGTGGGAGCCTGAAGGTGGTGAGAAGGAGTTGAACTCGGCATCTCTATGTCAGATAGAATATTCATAGAGCCTTCTTTGGAAAATCCAGAGTGGAGTGCCGAAACGAGATTTTTATTCCATCAATGGGATTTTAAACCTTGATACTAGTAATGAGTGCTTATGGAGAAAGAGTAGAAAGAGACCAAGGATAAAGCCCCCTGGGGTGGTAGAGGAAAAGGAACATGAAGAGGTCATTGACAGTCACTTCCAATTGTGCAGTCTGGCTACATTGTTATATTTTGACTAAATTCCCAACAACTGTCCAGAAGATTCTGACTCATAGTGATACTGTATAACAGAGTAGAATTGCTCCCTAGGTGTTTGAGACTGTACATCTTTCCTGTAGCAGACAGCCTCATCTTTCTCCTATGGAGTGGCTGGTGGGATTGAACCATCACCCTGTGGTTAGCAGCCCCATGCTTTTTCCACTGTGTCACCAGGTAAATAAGTAAGCGAAATTAAGGGATCATTCTGGTTTGGTATTTATACATCAAACAGGAGTTAAGATGACCTAGAGATTTCAAAATCTGAAAGTCATTTCCCCGAGCAGGTCTGCAGACACAGTATTTTGGAAGAACTAAGTTCCTGTGTCTGTTCCCACTATTATGTCATGGTGATGTACTTTCATTTTTCTAAGACAGACCTCAATTGATCACTTTTTAAAGTTGCTGTTTGCATGATTTTTTTCTTTTATTTTTCTGGCTTGTTTCCTCATGTGAAATTGTTTACAGTTTCAGAATCACTCACTGTTGTACACACACTGGTCAGTGCCTAAGAGCCACACTGTAAAATGGGCTGAGCTGATACCATCTCCACTTAACAATAAGGAAGCTGCGATTCCTAGGGAGATTGGCTTGCCTTTGAGTATTTGGAGGCCCAGGTGAGACTCACACCTAGGTCACATGCTTTGAAAGAAAATAGAATGCATTGCCTACGTATTACATGGATAGTTGTTGTTGATACCAAGTAAAACAGAATGAAGTCCCTGGGTGGTGCAAATGATTGAGTGCTTAACCACTAGCCAAAAAGTTGGCTGTCAAAATCTACCTAGAGGTATCTGGAAGACGGAACTGGTGATCTGCTTACAAAAAGGATCCCAATCCTGTGGAGCAGTTCTTCTCTGCACATGAGTTGAAATCTACTTGTCAGGAACAAACTACAATAACAAAACTATTCTTGTTCCAATCCCATAGGAAAAGAATGTAGTCTAATGGGAAAAGAGCAGGTACTGGGATCGGGAGAGTCCAGGGCTCTGGTTTTGCCCTTGCCCTAACCATCTTCACACCTGTCCAGTTATTCACCCTGGGACCTGGTTTCCCTGACTGTAAACATTGCAAATTGGGTAGGTGTTTCTATCCCTTTCTGCTTTAGAAAGCTGTGAGTCACAGGTAGTTTTACTATGAAAACATATTTCACTTTTGCTTACTGTGGTGTTTTTCTAATTTCATGTTTATATAATCAATACTTCTGTATTGTTGTTGGGTGCCATCAGACCCATTTCAGCTCATAACGACTCCATGTGACAATAAACTACTCCATAGGACTTCTTTAGCTATAATGTCTATGGAAATTGACTACCAGTTCTTTGCCCCTGAGATTCATAGGGGCACTTGAACTGCCAACCTTTAGGTTAGTTAACTAGTCTTTAATCACAAGATGACTTCATTTTGATCTAGAGGGGAAAGGCTGATAAACTTCAATATGTTGATTCTAATAAACTGTGATCATAGTTTATGAACTTTCAGAGTATAAGAGTTTTAAAAAATAATCTAAAGTTGTAAACCCAAGTTTTATTTGAATATTATTTCAAAATACTTCTCTTGGTCTAGTGGGGTATCCCAGTGACTTCTGGATAGGTATCAATATAATTTGAGTTTCTTTGAGTGATGCTACTGCGGGTAATGTAGACATAAGATATTTCAGTTGCATTTTCCTCAAGAGACCTCTTAGATATTGATCAATGGAATAAAGTTATTGAACAGCTAGGAACACCATCAGCAGATTTCATGAAGAAACTTCAGCCAACTGTGAGGAATTATGTGGAAAACAGACCAAAGTACCCTGGAATCAAATTTGAAGAACTCTTTCCTGATTGGATATTTCCATCGGAATCTGAACGAGATAAAATAAAAAGTAAGATATCATTTATTCCCCCCACCCCCCCTGCTGATAATCTAGGTGAAGCCTTTACTTTCGTATGTACACTCTATGTACCTGTCAGTGTTAGGAGATAAAGTAGTTGCAACTCTCAACTAACGTTATTTACTATCTAGAGATTTGATGGACATTGTGAAGAGAAAGCTGAGAGACTTAGAAATCTTGCCCTCAATAAAATAGCTTAACTTAAGCCTTTGGCCAAACTAAAAATTTTCAAATCAATCTGACTTGTGTTATATGCAACAATGAGAATAAAGATAGTTTTCAGATTCAAAGAACCCGTGATAATTCTAGCCTCCTTGAAGTCAGAAACCGTGTTTTAGTAGTTGAACAAAAAGTCCTTTTCTCCCTGTCCCACCTATCCTTTACTCAAGTGTGATTGTTTAGCTGAATGAATTCCACGTCTACCTACATTAGTGAAAACTGCCTTCAGAATAGCCCGTCTCCCCTTTACCTCTACGTGTTGTGAACTTCAAGTGTCAAATCATAAGTGAGCCTCATATTTAACTAAGCTATTGAACTTGTTTCATTCCCCCAAACAACTAGTGTCCAGGTTTTTTTCATCTATCATGCAATTTAATCACTCAGTCTTATTAAGATTTGTGCAATCAGGGCCAGGAAAGAAAATGCCCTTGGTCACAACATCCCTGCTTAGGGCAAACAGCCTTGGCCTAAGGATTAAATTTAGAATAAAGTGGATAACACACACACACACACACACACACACACACACACACAGATTTGTGCAATCAGTATCACAATCATTTTCAGAATATTTTCTTCTGGCACTTGTTGTTTGCTCCAATTTCACCCTATCCTCCCCTGTCATGCCCCTAGGTAATTATTAATTCAGTTACTGTCTCTATTGATTTATCTTGGATTTTATATACAGGAAATCATATGAAACAAAACAGGAAGCATACAAAAGCAAAACAACAACAACAATGACTAGACACAAATAGAAAAATCTCAATTAAAAAAAGCAAAAATATTAAAAACTGAAACAACTTTAAAATGGGTCAAAAGGGAGATCAAATAATAAGGTGCTATATTTTAGCCTACCCACTTATGCCATAATCTCAACTTTACAATGCTCTCTGTCTGATACGCTGTGCACATCACTAGACTATGTTCAAAGGGACAGAGGATTAATCCATGTGTGGTCCCTGCAAATATATTTTGGCCTTCCATTGTCATCCACTGTTCAGAATTTAAGCTCTGATACTGTCCCCTCCTTCAGATTTGGGTTTTATAATCCTTGGATCAGACAGGCTGATGTGCTTCTTCCATGTAGACTTAGTTGATGCCTCACTTAGATGGCCACTTGTTTTAAGACAAGACTGTAAGACCCCAGATGGTATTTTTTCTGATAGCTGGCCACCATCTGGTTTCATCACCACATTGTGCTATCACTTCTTGCTATTGTGAACTGTGGTGCGTTGAACATGGGAGAGCATACATATATTTGTATTCTGTCTCTCTTTTTGTTAGGGGAGGGGGGTCGGGGAGGTAGGAAGAGTATATGCCCAGCCAAGGTATTGCTCTGGGTCATATGGTATTTATATTCTCAGTTGTTTTACATATTGCTGTATTGCTTTCCACAATGCTTGTACATATTTACAAGCCCACCAACAGTACATAAGAGTTCCAAAATCTTCCTGCCATTTACAGCATTTGTTGTTCTCTGTTGTTGTTTTTTTAAATTGGGCTCTCATTGTGGGTATAAGATAATATCTCCTGGTTGTTTTGATTTGCATATCCCGAATGGCTAGTGATCGTGAGCATTTCCTCATGTGTTTGTCAGCCATTCAAGTGTTGTCCCTTGCGAATTGTCTATGTCATTTGCCTATCTTTTCATTGGATTATTGGTTTTGTTTTGGTTTTTTTTGAGGTGTTATAGGAGTTTATAGATTTTAGTAATTAGTCCTTTGTCCATTGTGTCATTGCTAAAGATTTGTTTCCAATCTGTTTGCTCTCATTTAGACTTTTGATGTGCATACATGTTTTATTTTTAATAGGTCCCACTCATCTATTGTGTCTTCTATTGTGTGTGCTCTGTACCTCTTGAGCCTGTCAAAAGTATTTAAAAAGTTCATTTTCTATATTGACAAATTTGACATTTATCATATTCAGTTTCGTGTTGTGTGATTTCCATTGTTTTCAAGTTAAGAACACTAGTTTATTAATATAATGTTTGTTTTTGTCCATAGCAAGCCAAGCCAGAGATTTACTGTCAAAAATGTTAGTGATTGATCCAGATAAACGAATCTCTGTAGATGAAGCATTACGTCACCCGTATATCACTGTGTGGTATGACCCTGCTGAGGCAGAAGCAGTAAGTATCTACTCTGAAAAAGTTTAGAGGTAGAACAGGAGCCCTATTGGTGTAGTGGTTATACTTTGGGCTGTGATCCACAAGGTCAGCAGTTTGAAACCACCAACCATTCCACCAGAGAAAGATAGGGCTTTCTACCCCTATAAAGAGTTATAGACCAACACAACCACTAAAGGCAAAGCAGGTGAATAAACAAATGTGAAGAAAGCTGATGGTGCCTGGCTATCAAAAGATATAGCGTCTGGGGTCTTAAAAGCTTGAAGGTAAACAAGCAGCCAATCTAGCTCAGAAGCAACAAAGCCCACATGGAACAACATATCAGCCTGTGTGATCACGAGGTGTCGAACGGATCACTGAAGACAATTGGGTGCATAAGCAAATGTGGCAAAGAAAGCTAATGGTGCCTGGCTATCAAAAAGTATAGCATCTGGGGTCTTAAAGGCTTGAAGGTAATCAAGTGGCCATCAAGCTCAGAAGCAACAAAGCCCACATGGAAGAAGCACACCAGCCTATGCAACCACGAGGTGTTGAAGGGATCAGGTATAAGGCATCATCAGAACAAAAAAATCTGACCATAATGAATGATGAGGGGAGTGCGGAGTGGAGATCCAAAGCCCATTAGTAAGCCACTGGAGATCCCCTTGCAGAGGGGTCTCCGGGAGGAGATGAGCCAGTCAGGGTGCGATGTAACAACGATGAGAAATAAAACTTTCCTCTAATTCCTAAATGTTTCCTCCCCGCTCCCACTACCATGACTCGAATTTGACCTTGCAAGTCTGGCTAGACCAGAGGAGGTACACTGGTACAGATAGGAACTGAAAATACAGGGAATCCAGGGCGGATGAGTCCTACAGGACCAGTGGTGTGAGTGGCAAAACAGGGAGGCTAGAGGGAGAGTGGGTAGGAAAGAGGGAACCAATTACAAGGAATTATATGTGACCTCCTCCCTGGAGGACAGACAACTGAAAAGTGGGTGAAGGGAGACGTCGGACAGGGCAAGATATGACAAAATACCAATTTATGAACTATCAAGGGCTCATGAGGGAGGGGGGAGCGGGGAGGGAGGGAAAAAAAATGACCTAATGTCGGGGGTTTGAGTGGAGAGAAAATGTTTTGAGAATGATGTACAAATGCACTTTACACAATTGATATGTGTATGGATTGGGATAACAGTTGTATGAGCCCCTAATAAAATGTTTAAAAAAAAAAAGTTATAGTCTCAGAAACTCACAGGGACATTTCTTTTCTGCCCTATAGGGTCACTATGAGTCAGCATCACCTCTGTGGCAGTGAATTTGGTTTGGGTTACTATATGTAGAGGCAGGGCCTGCATAAGGATAGCAAGTCCTAGATCGGAGTGGCTCCTGAGGATAAAGAGCCACTGGGTGGGCTTCGACCTGAGCCACACTGGGCCTTTTGGAGAGTACCTTAGAATGAACATGGAAATTGCCTTTCTTTTTGCAAATGCTGGTGTGTGAGACTAGTATCAACCTTTTATGAAGCACCTGTTGTGTACTTGACAACCCTGGTGGCAGAGTGGCTGCGCATTGGGCTACTAACTGCAAGGTCAGCACTTGTAAATGCCCAGCTGCTCCATGGGAGAGTGACGAGGGGTTCTACTCCTGTAGTTACAGTCTCTGGACCACGGGGACCTTTTCCCTGCGCTACAGGGCTGCTGTGAGTCAGCAGCATCTTGATGGCAGTGAGGGTGTAGCTGACATTGAGCTAGCTTTGGTTGCATCATCTGATCTAAAACGCCCAATCAGGTTCAGAGACTTGCTGGAAATCACAAGTTTATTTATCTTTCCCCAAAGGCATCTGGGCCTCCCCCACTGTCTGTGCCAGGCGAGTTCTCCTGAGTTTGGTCTCAGGTACACTGTTCCCAGGAAACACTTGTGTGAATGACCCTTAGCTACAAGGGAGATGCTAGTGTGGCTTTCTTACTTCATGTCGTTGGTGAGACATATTTTATGTCTTGGCCTACGGATTTGACCATAGTTTAAAACATTGTTTTCTATGAAAAGAATCTGATTGACAAAATCTGCCTTATAAGCAAACTTTTGGAATGGTCCATTTCTGAGTTAGGATTGGGTGGGAGGGGAGTGTAAACCTGAGCTATGCTCTTGGAAGGGACTTGGCCTCCCTGCGCTCCCGGCACAGCACCATGGCCATGGCAATGGCCACAGCAGAGCTTTAGCTGAGGCCAGTGGTGATGTCTAATTGCCCAAGGGGAAATATCTTTCCGTGTATTTTGAAGTCATATAATTATTAAGAGCAATATACTGTCCCTATTTCTTTGATCATTTTTTCATAATTGTTTTGGCGCTGTAACTGATGTAATAACATATTTACCAAAAAGGGGGGGAAATGCACTGCTAACCTCAAGGTTAGTGGTTCAAACCCACCAACTGCTCCAAGGGAGATAGATGAAGCTGTTTGCTCCCATAAAGATGTATAACCTCAGAAACCTTGTATAGGGTGGCTGAGAATCAGAATCAACTTGATAGCAATGGTTGGTTGGTTAGTGAATGAAGCTAACATCACATGATATGTAGATTAGAAGGCTTTGTTCTTTTCCTTTTTGAGCTGTTGACTTTATGTGTCTTTTCAATTTTAGCCACCACCTCAGATTTACGATGCACAATTGGAAGAAAGAGAACATGCCATAGAAGAATGGAAAGGTAAAGACTGAGATTGTTCTGATGCTGATTGATAGCATTGGTTTTAATTCCCATAAAGCAGAGGCTTTTACCTTTTTGTCAGTGGCCTTTTTAGAAGAGGGACAAGAGACCATGCAGCCCCTTTCTCCATTCTTTTCCCCTTTTGGAGGAGAAAAAAAGGGTTGAAAGATAACAGAGCTAGAGAGCCATATTTATGAATTGAGGATTATCTGCCTCAAAAGAGGAAAATAAGAGCTTTTATATGTGATTTTTCATTATGAAGTATTGCCAAACAACTCAGTAATTCTTTTTTTAAAAATTAATTTATTGGGGGCTCGTACAATTCTTATCACAGTCCATACATACATCCATTGTGTCAAGCACATATGTACATTTGTTGCCCTCATCATTCTCAAAAC